CCAAAGTGCAGCCGGATACACTCTGGAAAGTGCTACATCACAGTGAAGCCCTGGAATTGGAACGGTGGCCAAGCATTGAATGCTCCCCTTCTCTCACGGGGAGCAGAAGCAGAAACAGCCGAGATACTGCTCCCCAAAAAAAAAACAAAGGGGAAAAGAGATACCAAGCTCTGAACGTGATTGCCCTCAGATTCATCCACTGTGCCCAGAAGTGCAGCCAGATACATTCTAAAAAGTGCTAACATTACAGGGAAGCCCTGAAATCCCAAGGGCTGGTGGGCACTCATGAAAAACCAGTTGTCTATCAAAAAAAAGGAAAAGAAAGAAAAGCAAGGATCTGTTTTTTTTTTCCCCTCATGTTGCAGTTTCCTTTTCTTTTCTCTTTTCCCCATCGTCGCCTTCAGCCGCCGCTCGTTTCCACATAGCACAGCACCAGGACATCTTACAGTCCATTCGCCCCGTTTCCTTGGGCCCACACACGTCCTCCTCCATCGCACTGCCGGGCCTTCCCCGAAGCCCGGAAGTTGCGGGCCGTTAACAGCAACAGCCCGTGGCCGATGTATGGGCCAAGTACTGGTGGTTAAAAAAAAAAAAAAAAAAAAAAAAAAAAAAAAAAAAAAAAAGAAAAAAGAAAAAAAGAAGAACTTGGGCCATTTCTTGATGTATGTGTCATCCATGGGCAGGGGCCATGCTAACCTTCTCTGTATCATCCCAATCCTTTGAACGGTGTCCTCGTGTAAAAGTTAAAGACATGGTAACCGACCGGACGTCCGGACTGGGTTCCAGACAGTCCGGAACAACATGTCCGGTGTCTGGTGTCCGGTCCTTATGTCCGGATGGAGGCCCCCAGGGCAAAAAAAAAATAAAAATAAAGGGGCGGCCCTGGACGTTTTTCAGGTCCTGGCCACTCCTTGAAAAATAATGGGGTGATTTTTCAGTGTCAGTTCACCCCACCGGACAGGGCCTAGAGGTCAGGACACAAGACACTGCAGGTTTTTGGGGTGGCGGGTTTCACACAGTCCCGAGCAATTTCAAAGTGGCCGTTTCGACGTGCCGCTCGCCGCTGCTGCCGGTTGTCCCGCGCGCGCGCGCGCGAGAGAGAGAGAGAGAGAGAGAGATTACTTGATTGAAAGTTCAAACTTCAAACTTCAAAGTTAATCATACTTTTTTCAATATTTTTTTTCTCTGTTTCTTTAGTCTTGTGCCTGCTTTGCACTGTTTGCAACTCTGCTTGTCTGCTAGTTGAATATGCTTGTTGATTTGCTGCAAGACAGGTGCTCTGCTGCCTGAACTACAAAGCACAAAGCAGGTAAGTGCCTGCCAACAGCCCCCCCCCACCTCTGCCCTTTTTTTTTTTTTTTTTTTTTTTTTTTTTTCTTTTCTTTTTTTTTTTTTTTTTTTTTTTTTTTTTTTTTTTTTTTTTGTCCGTACTTTTGTACCACCTGACACCAGTCTGGACTGTCCGGGTCCGGTGATCTCCGGCTGTCCGGTGGTGTCCAGATCACCCGACATTCCGGACCGGTCCAGACACTGGTCCGGATGACAGTCCGGGAGTGTCCGGTGTCCGGGTCTGCGGGTACCATGGTTAAAGACCTTTTTTTTTCCCCTGGAGAAGCATGTAATTGCATTATTAAAAGTGGAACCGAGGCCGGGGGGACGTTGCAATTCTACCCGGACTGGCGCCATTACCCGGCTTCGGCTGATGCTTGAAACCGGGTCCAGCGTCCCATTGAATCGTTGCGATCGGCTTTCCTAAATTGCTGAAAATTTTGAGAAATTCAAAACCTACTTCTCACTCACTATAAGTACCAAGTACTACTAACGTTTGGATTTTTTTAATACATTTTCATATATTTCAGCGTTGTTTTTTTTTTTCTGCTGCTATCAAGGGCCCCAAAAATTTTCATAAAAAAGTTATACTGATACCCAAAATTGAACCACGTCGGGGTGACACATGGTTTAAAGCACAAGTACTTCGGGGCGTCCTTTTCCAATGCACATCGGTGCTGTGAGGCATGTGCCGATGAACAGCGAACTTGGATGCGTTTATAACTTTATAGCTTTTTTTTTGCTTGGCACCGCCAGCCATTTCGGTGTGGTAGGCCTGCCTGAGTGGTACTATTACAGTGCAACCAAAGGGCCTAGCTCAGTTGATACACCCAATGAAGTTCAAATCCAGCTGCGATCAGACGGACAGAGAAAAATAACTCTGAATTACCTGGGGCAGGTCAGCTCAATCATGATATCTCAAGGCCGTCCTGAAAGGCCTTCCACGATTCAGACCCCAAATTCGGATCTCAGGGTCAGATGCCCAGGCCAAGAAAAGACCGAGTTCGTCAAACTCAGAAAAGTCGCAATCGGCTACCTCAGCAGTCTGGTCCACCAGGCACCCAGCAAGCAGTCACGTCTCAGGGACAAGAGTCGCATCTCATAATAAAAACCATTCAGAAGAGTCACATTCCACGAGTGAAAAGGCAGATTCACCAAGCAAGAGTCATGTCTCAAGACAGGAGTCACGTTTCCTAATGAAAAGTCATATTGAAGGGACATCCCACGAGTAAAAGGTAGTATCACAGGCAAAAGTCGTGACCCACAAGCAAGAGACACTGTCCACAGTCAAAAGTCATGTTCACAAGTGAAAAGTCATGACTCAAGGGCCCAAGCAGCAGCAGACCAATGGAAATTCGGGAAGGTTCCAGCCCTCGACATTCAGTAGCAGACAGGCCGTGGGGATGTGGTACCGGAACCAGACAGGACCCACGAAATAGGGGCTGGCACGAGTTGAAGTGCAAACCAAGACTATAAAAGGACTGGCCAGCCTCACATTCGGGCAGATTGCTCATTCGCAAGAAGTGTGGAAGTGCTGGTGCACTTGTGCGCTGAAGTGAGGAGCAGAGCGCTGAGGCCAGAGTGCTGCGCTAAGTGAGAGAGAGGGAGAGGAAGATATCGCTGGCAGGGAGAAGGCAGCCATAGCTGTGCCAGTGCAGAAGAGTTAGTGCTAGTTGTTAGTAGTAGACTCCAGAGGGGTTAGTAGAGTTCACAGTGGGTGTATTCAGAGTAGATCCATGAAGTAGTAGATAGTGAGTGTGAATGCATGTAGGGAGAGAAGACACAGCGAGGTCATAGCTAGGGAGAAGACCAGCAAGGTGGAGAGAAATATAAGAGGGAAGAGCAGAGGGGAAGAGATACTTACCTGAGAGTTTATGCTGATTATTGGTTACCTATTGGCACTTGCTGTTGAGCGCTGGTGACTTGAACTCTTATTGCTCTTGTAATACTTTCTGGAAAAGATAAGCTGCGCTACCTGGTCTTCATCTCTCTGGTCTCCAGTGTGAACTTCGTGTGAACTCGTACATGCATGTGGTGTCAATATGTGCACTCGTTGGCGTTGAACTAGGAGGTTCATTGCAGTCCCCCTTCCTGAACTGAAAAAAAAAAGGAAAAAAAAAAAACTAGGCTACGGAGGTCCTGTGGCTGATAAAGTGCAGCTTACCTTCTTCGTCGCGATCGGCTGTAACGCGCCACGTAGCCCCCAGGGAAGTGGGAGGTGCCGCGCGTGATTGGAAGGAAACGCGTTTATTAACACACACGATTATTATCGCGCTCCCAATTACCTGGGCGCTACGTGGCGCCTGACAGCAGATCGCGACGAAGAAGGTAAGCTTCGAGGCAGAGTCAGGCCTCCAGTCAGGCATGGAGGCCTGAGCTAGAGCAGCCATAGCTGCTTTGGGTTGTCCTTTGGACATCAGGGGAAGGCCCAAGTAGTCGGCCATAGCCTCGGCATATGAGAGTGAAGAGTGAGGGAGATGGTGGACCTCAAGTGATACCTGCAGTAGAAGAGGGATTCGGACATTGATTCTGGTTCAGCCATTCAACATTGTACTATTATTTCTTGTGTCAATAAGAAAGGAGTAAAGGAGGAGGAGAGTGATTGGCGAAGAAGAAGAGCATTATCATTGTCTATGCTCGTGTACATCATCTTCTTCTTCTTTCTTTCTTCTTCTTCTTCTTCTTCTTCTTCTTCTTTCCTTCTCTCTCCTCTCAAGTTCATTCATTTCTTTCTGCAATTGGACGTTATTCTATTAGATACAGTGATACTTTTGGTCGATAGATACAACAATACGTATGGTCTATAGATACAGCGATACTGACCGTGCTGTCTATTCGGGTGAAGACGGTAGTCTTGAGCATGAACCTGGCCTAGACCCTAGACTAGCAGGAAATAATATGAGCATGAATCTGGGCTACGTATCGGTAACCAGTCCATTTGTTTCTTTTCTGTTTGGAGTCCTTGGACTTAGGAATTGAATAGCGGCACGGTGGATGCCTATCCCATCCAGCCCATGCATGTGGCTGAACGGCAACACCCATGTAACTATTTCCAGACAAATCACGAGTTTGAATCGTAACGGAATCACATGGACAGTATGGATACAATAATGTTAGGAGGTACCCCTTTTTAACAGAAATGCCCCCCTCACAGTGCTTGCTGAACCTTAGATCTGAGAACCTTGGGTTGGACACAGCCAAACATCTGATATAGACCAAGGGGCTACCCTGTTTCAACAGAACAAACCCCCCACTTTCGCCAAGTTAGGTTCTCTTCCTCTGCAGATGCTGACAATGCAATGATTTGGTTGAAATGCTGTTCAGGTGTGAGTCAACGTGTATGTACTGTGGCTGGTGGGGGATGCAGCCGTAATGCTCGCGGCCAAGGCATCGCTTTGCTTCAAGGCCTTGTGTAAGGCCTCCTTGGGAATTTGGGGACCGTCGGTACCCTTGGGACAGGTGGAAACTTGGGGACCGTCGGTACCCTTGGGACAGGTGGGAACTTGGGGACCCACTGGTACCCTTGGGACAGGTGGGACAAAAGTTGCAAAGTTCGCAGTGAGCTCATTTACTGGTGGGCAAAGAAGAAGAAGGTGGAGACGATTGATTGGCATAAGTTAAAGAAAAAGAAGTTCTTATGGCTTTGATGACGAGGTGGAAATCGCATGTAGGAGCCGCTGTATGGCCGGTGGCTCCTCGACGCCAATGGAGCAGTTGGTTGCCCATTCTAGTCTTGAGTATAATCCTTGTCGGCGGCTATTTTGTCATGGAAGAGAAGCTCACAGTTGGCGCAAACGGTGATGGCAGAGGATGTCTGAATGTCAGGCATGCTCTGACAAGCCCCGAAGTTCAGAAAATTTTGTCCGAGTACCTGTCCCAAGCGAAGAACGGCAGCACGTCGGGACCTGCTGCTGCTCATAAGATGAAAGGCGGCGGTGGAGATCATTTGGATAAGCTGACAGCAGCGTTGGCAGCAGAGTTCAAGAGGATGGAAGAGCAGAACTTTGTCGCCGCTGCGATCACCAGCACCAGCAGTTTACAAATGCTGCAAGGTGTCGTCAATCCCAAGCGTCATCAAGACCGTCGATCGGATGATCGACTACGGGTGTACATGTACGATCTTCCGCCGAAGTTCACATACGGAGTAATTGAGTCGTACTTGCGCTGCAGGGACCTGCTGCCGAAAGGAGGAGATGGTAAAGCGCTTGTCTATCCACGCCATCAACACAGCGCCGAATGGTGGCTATTTATAGACCTCCTGGGGAAGGGAGGGAAACAAGCGCAGTCAGCGGCTGTCAGGGTAACTGATCCTGACGTTGCTGATGTGTTCTTCGTCCCCTTCTTCTCCTCTCTAAGTCTGCTGATGCGAATATCGAACGAGTCAATCGTCAGAGCGAGTAGTCGAGTCCAATCAGGCAAATTTGCGGCTAGACGTCACGTATCTCACCCGAAGAGATATGCTGTGACATTGCAGAGAGAGCTCTTGGAGTGGCTGAACAAACAGCCCACATGGCATAAGAACCTGGGACGGGACCACCTGTTTGTCGCACAGGATCCGAATGCGCTTGCAATCATCCGGCCAACCATCCGCCGGTCAATAATGCTGGTCTCCGACTTCGGACGTATGAGCCCAGATGAAGGGAATCTGGTCAAGGACGTCGTCATCCCGTATGCACATCGCATTCCGACATATGACGAGGGTGGACGTCCCTTGGAGAGAGAAACTCTCCTTTTTTTTGGCGGAAATCGCTTTCGCAAGGATGTGAGTTGCTTTCTCCTCCCATGCCTTTCCCCAGTGTTACAGCAAAGATTGTTTTTTTCTGTTTTCTCTCCACCAATCCGTTTGCACTCTTCTGTTCACTTTCATTGTGCAGACTGCTTCCCCATTGGCCTCTCTCTCTCTCTCTCTCTCTCTCTCTCTCTCTCTCTCTCTCTCTCTCTCTCTCTCTCTCTCTCTCTCTCTCTCTCTCTCTCTGCATCTTTAGTACGTAAGACCAGAAGAGCCTCTCTCTCTCATTGCTTTTTTTTTCCATTTTTCTTTTGTTTTTCTAATGCACTCTTGGGTTATCACTATGTCTCTCACAACGAACTTGCCTCGCTTTTCTCCTGGTGTCTTCTTTCTCTCCTATTGTCAGTCCACTCTGTGCTGGAGAACAGCTGGAAACTCATGATGCGCTTGCATGTATTATGGAACTTTTTCTTTTCTTTTTCAATTAAATAATTTAAAGAAAAATAAAAAAAATAAAAAATTATAAAATTCAAATTTGTTTTTCTTTTCTAGGCTGTTTTTCCGGGCGCCCAGGCACCCAACTTATGCCCGGGTACCCACCTTGGGTGCCCGGCCGGGCAGGGTTCCGGGCAGCCCCAGCGCGAAAAAAGAAAAAAAAGGAAAAATTCCAGAAAAAAAAATGTTGTGTAGAATTGCAATACAAACGACTTTTCGCTGAGGGTCACATTAGATTCTCACTGAATCAGAGATAAAAAAGAAAATAATAGAATCACACTAAGGCACCCCCCTTTAGACCCCTTTAGCCCCTTTAAGACCAATTTATATACCCGCCCCTCCTCCCCACCCACCTTGAAAGCCAACGCGCAAAAAAAGAAATGAGCCCGGATTTGGGGTCCTCTAGGAGAGCGCTCAAAACCCAAAAAAATAAAAATAATAATAATAATAAATTATTTTCTAAGTTTCTTTATTTCTTTGCACGCTCGGGTTCCCGGCTGGCCATGAGAATCTTTCTAGTTTTCTTTTGAATTCTGAACTCTGTCTTTCAGTAACGCTTCGTCGCCTCTCAGTCGATCGGCATGTATGGATATTGTTGCTTGGCATTTTGGTTTGATTTGCAGGGAGGTCGCATTAGGGATTCACTGTTCAATGTTCTGGAGAATGAGACAGGTGTTCTAATGGTTGAGGGCGCACCAACAAATGCGGGAACCCAATTAGCAAGGTTGAAGATGAGGACATCAAAGTTTTGCCTGCATCCTGCTGGCGACACACCATCTGCTTGTCGTCTGTTTGATGCCATTGTGAATCTCTGTGTCCCGGTAAGTGCAAGGATAATAACCAACTTAAATCAAGTCTCCTTTCTGTTTTCTGCTTTTTTTTTTAACCTTTTTTTTTTAACAAAAAACTGGACCGTTTCTCGATTTATGCATGTAATTCTTGCACAGGGGCCCATGCTAATCTTCTGCGTATCGTTCAAGATTCAAGTTCTTTTTTTTGGGTCTGGTGTTTGTCTCTGCCGTTTAAGATATTGGTACTTCCTGCCCCGAGTTACGAGTCGTGGAATGTGCTGTTTTTTTTTTGTTTTTTTTTTGGGGCTCTTGAAATTAGACAACTGTTCCTTTGCTGTGTTCCAATTCCACAGTGTTTTCACCGTGTGTCGAATCTTGAGTTTTATGAATGGTTGGTTGTTTACTCTACTTGTTGTTTTTGTGCACAAGCAGTGTTGCATACCCTTGACTGGTCGGCTGCCGACCAGCAGGCCGCTATATCTCCAGGTAGACCGCTGGGCTCTACCTCATTTGCGGTATGCAAGTTTGGGCGTCATGCTGCTTGAGCAGGCGCTGGTTCTCAGAGCGCTGCCTGGGAGGAAGGAGGAGAGCTGGGCGCTCTGCCTGGCCATGGCGAGCAGCCCAGCTTGATGAGGAGGAGGAAGGGGGCGAAGGAGGAGAGTGGCGAGGTACCTACCTGGCTATGGTGAAGCCATCTTCATCACCTTGTTAGGCGCTGCATCTGGAAGGGCCTAGTGGGGCTAGTGCCACACCAAGGAAGCTTTGAGGCAGAGTCAGGCATGGCGACCTGAAGAGCAGCTGCCATAGCTGCTTTGCATTGTCTTTTGCACAGGAGGGAAGAGCTCTTAGTAGTCCGCCATAGCCTAGGCCTGTGTGAGGAAGAAGAAGATGGAGGCCATGGCTATGGTGGACCTCTTGTTAAGCAGGGAGTAAGAGGGAACTTCAAGATTCGAAGAGAGAGCCCATGGCTATGGTGGACGGCTGGCAGTAAGAGGGAGACTTGACCGGAAGCTGCCATATCTTCTTCAAAGAGCTGCAAGTTGCTGCTTTGGACTTCAACAACGACGAGGGATCCAGCGTTGTATACGGACGGGTGTAGGTAGGCCCGCTTAGTCATGCGAGGACACTTCGTGTAGTGGTAGCTAGGGGTCAGGAGGACGTATGCGAGAGGGGGGTGAGTCGTTATCTCATCTTTGGAGGTCGGGCCTCACAGGTAAGTGTCGTGTGACTTGGGTTGCTCATGGGAGATTGCATGGTAGTTCATGGCCTCTTGGGGATTGTTCTGGGCTCTTTACCTCTTCTCGGCGGTCTTGGTTGTGTGTGTGAGCATGTGGATTGCTTTCTCACCTGATGGATGGATGGATGATCTACTCTGTTCTCGACGGCATATCTTTTTATAGCGCATTGTCTTTCCATTTCTGAACCTCTGTAGTTAGTAGGTTCTTGCTGGAGTCGTCATTTCCTTTTCAGTACCGTAGAGGCAGTTTGGAACCAACTTGGGACACCTTTCTGGTTGGTACTGGTCCATGACCTACTTGGGCCCCTTCGGGACTCAGTGGGACCAGGCCCGACGGGACAGGACCCTTTCACCCCAAATCTGTTGCCGTCAGTTGCATTTCTTTGCTGTGCTGAAACTGGGGGGACACACGACTAGTAGGGACATTCCCTTTCGAGTGGATCTTGACTGGGTCTTATCGCATGTTCTCACACACTGCCCCACGTCTGGCTCGGCGACCCTCTGCACCCCTCGAAATCTCCATTGCTTCAGTTAGTTTTTTCTTTTGTCCAACTCATCTGTGATGCATGTTCCATGTTGGGTTAGTCAATTGGGGATCTCGAATCTGATCTGACCGGACCCATTCGTTAAGTTGGACCTCTCTTTGAATTATTATTATTATTATTATTTTATCCTGCTGTGTGGATGTCATTCTCTAGTCCAAATAACCGTCTAGTGATTTTTTACTTTTCATCTTTTATCTGAACTATATCTATGTCCAGCATTGAGACGCGTGGGCAGAAAGCGGAAAGACAGGGAAGGGAGAGGGAAGGTACTGTTTTTGAGAGTGTGAGGGGTAAGAGGAGTGCTCGTCCAAACGTGAGCGAAGAGTGGACTCCTCTTGAGAGTTCTACTGACATCCAATCCTTCAGCATGGCAGACATCTTTATTCACAATGGCAGGCCATGCTTGACACAGCGGATGAGAGAGAGAAACCGTTCTTTTAGAAACTTTATGATGATGCATTGCAGAGAGAGTGAGGCAGAGGCAGCAACATGAGCAACAAGTATTGCTGCCCAAGGGGCCCTTCTAGCTGTTCTGGAAACCAATGATACCCGGTTCAGGGATAAGTTAACCGCTGCCGTAGCAGCCTTGGTCCAACTGCATACTCGAGAGAATTTTGAGTCACGTGTGACAGCTCTAGAGCAGCGAAACCAAGAGCTGCAGGCTGAGATTGCAGGCCTCAAGCAGGCCCAACTGACAATCCCTCAACCTTCTAACTCTCGTCTTGCTGCTGTCCCAATCTTTTCCCCTAACTCAGTCCTCATGCAGAGACCAAGTGGAACTGTGATGAGGGCAAGAACCGGTGCCAACTCTTCAAGTGGCAGCGCCTGCAGTTGTGCACTTGTCTCAATCCCAAATGCAGCCCAAAACAGCACAGTTCCTGTTGCCGTACAGTACAGCCATCTTGTAGTGGACAAGAGGGCGGCCATTGTGACGGGGCTGAGGTAGAGCAGCTACGTCGGGGAAGAGAGAGGGAGGGAGTGAGAGCACACACACACACTCACTCAACTCGACACGGACTCGACACGACTCGACGGACGCGGACACAAAGTGGCAAAGTCGCGAAGTTGCAAAGTCTCAATCTTGGTTCCGTACACAATGTCGCAGCAAGTCACACTGAAGCACAAGAACTGAGGCCGAAAACTGAATGCCCGAACTCAGTTTGAGTCCAGTCTTAAGTACCAACCTCAAGTTGAGCCCGAGGGCAGAAGTGCAATTTGCCTCGGGGCTGAACTGAAAATCGAAGGTCTGAGCCTGGCGCCAAGTATCGAAATCCGAAAGTGCCAGAGGCGGGATGTGAGAACGGGCGCCAACAGTCAAGAAACAGAGATCAGAGACTCAAAAAAAAGTAGAATAGCTTGCTGAGTCCGTAACACTATCCCCTCCCTCTGGAAGGCAACGTCCTGGCTGCCAAAGACCCAATGAACAACTGTGAAGGACGGGACTGGGCCGATCACTGGTCAGAAAAGGAAAGGGGGAGTAATGCAAGTAGCAGTGTAATTCTATGGGGGTTCTACAAGGATGAGGGGATCAATGTTCAAGTAAAAGGGTAAGCCTATTGAGGTTCTACAGGGGTGACGGAATCAATGCTCAAGTAACAGGGTAATCCTACTAAGGTTGTACAGGGATGAGGGAATCAATGCGCAAGTAACAGGGTAATCCTATTGAGGTTCTACAGGTAACAGGGCAGTCCTATTGATGTTCTACAAGGTTGTAGGTTGTCAGGTTTGAGGGGAAAAAAAATTAAAAAAAAATTGTTTGTTCAATTCTCAAGTGTTGGGGTGTCTGAGGAGGTTTGGGAAAACAACGTCTTAGGTCTGTAACAAAGTGTCAGAGGCGAAAAATGTCTTGAGGGAAGTGTTGCAGAAGTGGCGGGGAGGAAGCAGTCTTCAGCAGTTCTGTGATATAGATGGCGAGGGCTTCAGCTTGATTGTCTCAGTAGCAGGTTGCGTCTGGTACACGATCTGGTGACGAGGTCTGATCCGGATAGCAGGTCGCAGACTGATCTTCATGTCCATGTTAGAGGTGCTGCGAGTCCAAGGCGCCGGCCAAAGGGCACAGCATGGTGGCCAACCAGCTGTCTTATCTTCTCGTATCGAGCTGCAGCATGCCATCGTCCTCGTGCACTTGCCATTAGATCCATTATCGCCGGCGACGCGCAGGGGCCACATAGAGAGACAAGGACGTGGCGGAGGAGAGATGGGAGAACGGGGCAAGGCGGAGGCAAGAGCAGATCAGACAAGGGGGGGGGGGGGTCAAGAGGCAAGGGGTTCATTGGGTACAGGGGTGTGTGTAGAGCAGGAATGCGGGTTTTGGCGGGGTCAAGGCGGGGTTTATGCATGGGTTTAGGGTTTGAGTTATATTATGTATCTAGGATACAGGGTGAGCACGATCATAGGCTCGAACAAGTTTCGTAGCATTCTTAAGGTTAGCAAGAGGTTCCCATGTGGATTCTTCGTCAGGGTATCCTGTCCATTTAACTTTGTATTTTGTGATTGATTCAGGGTGGTCAGATACCTGAGTAGTTCTTCGTCCTATGATGGCTTCGATGACGAAATCAAGGCGTGTGGGTAACATGATTAGTGGAGGTCTAGGATATGGGCGGTCAGCGAATTGGGGTGGGGATTCATGGTATTCTTTTAGGTATTCTACGTGGAAGACAGGGTGGACACGACTCATGTCAGGGGGGAGTTGGAGTTTTTAGTTGACGGGGGAGGTTTGTTCAATGATGGGGAAGGGTCCGAGCCACTTGTTCGAGAGTTTCTTGGACAAGCCATGTTCGGGTTCAAAGTGTTTGGCAGAGAGCCAGACTTTGTCCCCTACTTTGAATGACACGTCACGTCTGTGTTTTTTAGTCTTGTTTGCTTGTTGTTCTTGTGTTCGTTCAAGGGCTTCGGTTGCTTCTCTGAGGAGTCGATTATTGTTGCTACCCATTCATTGAGGGAAGGGGAGGGCGTGGAGGGGTTGAGTTGCGAGGGGATCAGGAAATGGGAGGGCGAGCGCGGATGATAGCCAAGGTCAAGGTAGAATGGAGACATGCCAGTGGAAGGACATACAACATTGTTGTAGGCTATCTCGGCGGCGGTGAGCAACTGATCCTAATCGTGTTGATGTGGATGACAATACTTTCGCAGGATTCCTTGGAGAGTATCGTTCATCTTCTCGGTTCGTCCATCGGTCTGTGGGTGGAATGCAGTGCTATACTTGAGCGTGGTTTCGTAGGCTTTAAAGAGGTGTTTCCAAAATTGTGAAAGGAAGGGAGGGTCACAGTCGCTGATGATGTTCTCGAGGAGACCGTGGTGGCGTGCGACATGGTCGAAGACGAGAATGGTGGTCCTTGGCGTTGTGTGATGTAGTGCAAGGGATGAAGTGGGCGCTTTTAGTCAAGCGACAAACAATGACATAGATGCAATCACGTCCGCGGTCGGACTTGGGGAGACCGCAGACGAAATCCATGGAGATGGACTGCCACCGGTGGGTGGGGATCGACAATGATTGTAGCTTGTCAGGCTTGGCACGATTTGAGGGGTTGACAGCTTGACACGTGGGGCATGAGCGGATGTATGTCGGCGAGTAGGGAAGGCCAGTGAAAGTAGCGGGATATGGTGTCAAGTGTTTTCTGGAACCCAAGATGTCCGACAGTCTTGGCGTCGTGGTGTTCGGACAAGATCTGGGTACGGAGACCACGTGCGTCAGGGATGCAAAGTCGGCGGGTGCCTTTAGCATCGATGTAAAGGAGACTGGCATGGAGCGTGTAGTCAAGGACAGGGTCGAGGTCACGAAGTTTGTTGTAGATTGTTGAGAAATCCGGGCAAGAGAGGTAGCCTTGGGTGTAGCGGTGGGGGAGTGATAAGAGGAGTTGGATATGAGTCATGGTGGCGTAGACTTTCTCGGAGGGCTTGTGGTCGGGGCGTCGAGAGAGGGAATCGGCAACGCGGTTGCTTTTGCCGGGGGTGTGGCAAATGGTGAATGTGAACTGGGCAAGAAAGTCTAACCAACGGGCTTGGCGCGACGTGATGTCTTTCTTGGTGAGGATAGAGGAAACGATGGTGTTGTCCGTGCGGATGGTGAAGTATTGCCTGTCGAGGTACGGGCGCCAGACTTTGAGGGCGTGAATCACGACGAGGAGTTCCTTGTTGGAGGGGTAGTTCATCTCCGCGGGAAGGAGCTTCTTGCTAGAGAAGGCGATGGGGTACTCGCCGGGTGGAGCCTCGGGGTAGGTGGGGGAGTCTTTGATGGAGGGGGTTTCATAGGTGTCACGAGGGAAGTGTTGGGATAGGACGGCTCCAAGGGTGAATTCGGATGCGTCAGTGGTAACGTATAAATGTCGAGAGGGGTCGGCGATCTGAGGACGAGGGTCGTGGTGATGGTTTATGTGAGGAAGTTGAATGCGTTTTGGCGGCGGTCGATCCAAGTGAAGGGTTCGTCCTTGCGGGTGAGTTCGTGGAGGGGGTACGAGATATCGAGGAAGTTGCGGATAAAGAGGCGGTAGTAGTTGGCAAGGCCGAGAAATGAGTGACGTTGGAGTAGGGTCTTGGGTGGTGGATACTCGACGCGGTGACCTTCGAGGGGTCCATGCGGATACCTTCGGCAGAGACGATGTGGCCAAGGTATTCAACGCTTGAAGCGACGAAGGTGCATTTGCTTAGCTTGGCGTAGAATTTTATGTGGCGGGGCGTTGGTGAGTCTGAAGGGCATCACGAGGAACTCGTAGTGCCCGAAGCGGGAACGGAATGTGGTCTTGTGGGTGTCCTCCTCGCGGATGCGGATTTGGTGGAAGCCACTGCGGAGGTCAAGTGGGATAAAATATTTGGCTCGATGGAAGCGATCAAGGAGCTCGGAGATCTGAGGTAAGGGGTACTTGTCGCGGTAGTCTGTGCACATCCGAAGTTTCGATGTTTTGCCTTTTTTGACGAAAAGGCAACTTGTGTCGAAGGGGGATGAACTTGGCTTAATGAATCCTTTTTCAAGGAGTTCATCGAGTTGCTGCTTCATTTCTTCGGCTTTCGAAACGGAGAGTTGGTACGGAGGGCAACAAGGTGGAGAGTGGCTGGCCTCCAAATCGATGGTGTGGGATACGCCACGATCCGGAGGTAATCCGGCAGGCAAGGACTCGGAAAAGGTCCTTGAACTCGTCGAGGATGGAGGTGAGGGCGGGGTCGGAGGGGGGGGCTTGTAGCGGTCCAACCACGGTGTTCCCAAAACGATGTCGCACATTAAGTGCATGACATTGAATGAGACTTGACTGCGGAGGGTTCCGACAGTCATGGTGGTCTCGGGAACCGTGCGGTCTACTACGACGGAGGTGTCTTTGTCCCCTAAACGAATCGTCATCGGGGAGCTGTAACCGGTAGACCGGCTTTTCGGATGCATGCGTCGGTGATGCAGTTACCGGTGGCTCCAATGTCGAGGAGGGCCCGAAACTTAGTCGTAGACGCACCAAGGGTGGCGACGATGAATTTGAGGTGAAAACGTGATGAGATGGCGGTGGAGATAATGGTGTTGAGGCGGTGTTGTTCATTGCCTAATCGGACAAGCCGATCGTGTCGGGCTTGTTCCTCAACAACACCAGAGAAGGTGACAGAGGATGGATTCGGAAGGAGGGTTGAGGAACAAGTGGCAGTGAGGGGGGCTTCATGCGACGAGGGTTGCGATGCCTGGGGGTCGTCTGGTGGGATGTGCGGCACCGGAGAGGGGGGAGACAGACATATTGTCGATGCCAAATGGGTCACCAGTGGGGTGGAGACCTCCCCCGATGAGATGGCCGGCAGACTAGTCGTCGATGTCGGGGCGGGTTCGTGGTGATCATGGGGACGGTGTTCAAGTGGAGGGGCCGGGAGTGGCGGATGTGGAAGCGGTAGGTTGGCCATGGACCTGGGTGCCTGAGTGTGTGAGCTGTCTGGCATCTGGACAGCTTGTCTGCTGATGTCCTAACTGTCGGCACCGGAAACATCCACCCTTAGCTTGGAGGTAGGTTCGCTCCTCTAGCGCGAGTTTCGTGAGATGGGTTGGGGCTGTTTATGGGAGGACGACTATTGTGTTCTCTCCTTTCCATCCGAATGAGGTGGATGGTAGAGAGTTCGTCGGGAGGAGAGCAATGTGGTGTCTAGTGGATCGGAGAGGGTGTCAGGGTCGGGGGCGGTGGACTCGTCCGAGGAGGTGGTGGAGGTGATGTCCTCGGAGGCGATGTTGTGGAAGAAGCGAGGGCGGGGAGGGGCCGATGTAAGTGTGGTCTTGTAGGGGGAAAAGATGCGGTCAATTTGGAGGGCACGAGTGAGGAGGTCGGCGAAGGTCATGGGTGGCTTGTGGACGAGGGTGACCGCTAGGTCTTTGCTGCATACGCACTTAACGTGGGAGATGAATGTGAAGTCGCTGACGATGTTGATGGGGATATGTTGACAAAGCGAGCGGACGTATTGCACAAAACGGTTGGTTGAGCCGTTTTTTTGGAGCCGGCAAAATTGGTCGATGTCGTCGTCGACCGTTTTCTGTGGATGAAAGGTGGAGATGATGAGGTCGGCCCACTCAAGGAAGGTGTGAGGTCAGAGACTGGCGTGATGGCGGTTGGTCATTTCGATGTACCCACCAGCGAGCAGCACTGTCTAGGAGTCTGCTGCCGACGATGGGAAACGAGTGAACAACAGGAATGTTGTGGAGGGAGAAGGCTTGTTGAAGTTTGGTGAGAAAGAGGAAGACATCCTCATGGGGTTGACCTGAGAAGGTGGGAGTCTCGTTGGCCCGGAATGATGGAGGGATTTTGCCTTCTCTGGGGGTAGTGGTGGCAAGGGCGTTGAAATCAAGGGTGGGAGAGGAAGAGTCGACCAGGGTGAAATCGTCGACGGGGTTGGTGGGGATGAGAGCATTTGGGGGAAGTAGTGGAAGAGCGGGATGCATAGCTTGTGGAATGATCTGGGTATAGTTGGGGAAGGTGGAGGTGATAACGGACGAAGTCAAGAGGAGTTTTGATTGGGGGGGAATGGTCGATGACTTTGTGACGACGGGGGTTGTCGGCTGGGTGACTATGGTGGAGGTAGTGGTGGATGAAGGCGGGGGTGTGGATGACGTGTTAGCAGAGAGGGCGGTGGATGTGGAGGAGGAGGTGATTGGTGTAGATGTGGAAGCGAAGGATGGGGGAAGGGTGGTGGCACCCGAGGTGAGGGGGGGGACATGGTGGTGACGACCTGAATGGCGGGGGTTTGATTTTCAATGGTGGTCACGCGAGCAGGGATGGTGGAAATGGATGTTTTGATGTTGTCGATGGATGAGTGGAGGGATGTCATCATGCGGAGAAGTGTCGCGAGGTCGGTGGCAGCATCAGGTGCTGGTGTTTGCTCGCCTGCAAGGTTGCGGGCGATGCTGTTGATTGAGTCGGTGCGGATGAGAGGGGGAGGAAGCAGTGGTAGCAGCAGATGAGGTGGAGGCGGCGACAACAGCAGCGGCGTTGGCGGCTGCGCGTTGAGAGTTTCTGGTTGTGAGTGTCATGCCTTGGAGGGGGTCCTATTTACAAGTGTAGAACAACATCAATTGATTTATCAAAGAAGATAATTTGCAAAACAAGAATTCAAATAAATTAATTCCGATTCGAATTAATTAAAGGTATTCGAAATTAATTTGAGAGTACACCTTGGAAAGAAATTCAAAAAGAATTCGAAGGAGGAACTTGCAAAACAAAATTTTCCAGAAATTTTTGCAGAAAATATCAGAACAAGGAAGAAAAGAAATAATTAGTTTTGAAGAAAAAGTTCCAATTTGGGTTTTTAATTAATTCCAAATTAATTTCGGGGTATGATTTTGCAAGAAAACAAGAACTTTCAAAAAAAGAAGGGTTAAGTAATTCGAAAATATTCTCGAATTTCCAGAATTTTTTAAAAAAGGCATTTTTGAATTTCGAGAAAATTTTTTGAAAAGGGAATTTTTTGAATTAAAATATACGAGAAAAAGAATTAATTAAAATTATTTCTGAATTTTGAAAAATAAATATTGAAAAAAAAATTAATTAATTCTAACGTATTTTCAAAATTTTCGAAAAGGAATGAATTAGAAGTAGTCGAATTTCAAAGAAATGTCGAAAAAGAATTAATTTGAATTAAAAAAAGAAAAAGAGTTAATTAATTCTAAAATATTTTGCAATTACTAAAATTCCGAAAAAGAATTAATTAGGAATGTTTCGAAATTACGAAAAAGAAATGTTGAAAAAGAATTTAATTAATTCTGAAATATTTTTGAATTATAAAAATTGTGAAAAGGAATTAATTAAAATTATTTTCAATTTTTGAGGAAGAAATCCTGAGAAAGAATAACTAATTCTACGTATTTTCGAAAGTTAAAAAAAATAACATATTTTTGGAAAAGAAATGTCGAAAAAGATAATCAATTAAGTATTTTTGAATAAATTTTAATAAAAAATAAATAAATAGAGGAATAAATTAGTATTTAAGTAAATCGAGGGCGAAGCAATCGTATCTACGATTGATTGGGTGGTAGCGTGGTAGGTACCCCTCTAGAT